CCCAAACTTTTCCCAAAAACTTAGTCATCGTGAAATGGAAGTTACTGAGAGTTGCAGTATGCTGATAAACTTCAAATTGAAACAGAATATTGAATAAAGGACGAGACTTTTTTACATTGTAACAAACTAACTGTTTGTTACAATGAGGGGCATTGTTATGAATATTGTGGCAGAAGCTGGTAAATTGATGTCAACAGAGAAGGACTGCCACTTCAAGTATGGAAGCAAATTATCAAATGCTAGCAAAACAAAGAATACTAAAACACTTGTCCAGTGGACTATGGCTACACCAGGGGTGCCCAAACTCTGTCTGGGAAGGCCAGTGTCCTGGAGAGTTTAGCTCCAACCCTAATCACAACACACCTGAACCAGCTAATCAAGCTCTTACTAGATATACTAGAAACGTCCTGGTAGGTGTGTTAAAGCAAGTTGGAGTTGAACGCTGCAGTACACCAGCCCTCCAGGACTGAGTTTGTACACCCTGGTCTACAATAAATCCAGATACATCTGAAAACTGTTTGGTCAAAAAAAAAAGCTCCATGTCCACATTATTGGTTTCAGTTCTTTCCGAAAAAATTGTCGTACATACTAAAATGATTGAAAACACTTTCATTATGTACTGCGTTTGGGCACAGGCAGTTCTACCTCAATCATATCATGCCTGCTATTTACTAATTTTCAGTGTCTTTGAAATGTTGCAACAAACTGGCGCAACTGTCTTCTGCTTCTTCAGTATGCCTACTTAGTATTCAAGTTTCAAACATCTATAATAAAATATTTAGGTTATTTTATGATTTTGTTTAACACTATTTGTAGACTCAATTGGGGTGTTTTTTTCTGTTGATGAACTGCAACACTTTTCATTAAACATGTTGATAAATTGATGTTTTAAAATTTATTTCCAAGATTGCAATGCAATTGTTAAATATCCAGTTAAACAATTAAAATATTTTGTAAAAAAAAAAAAATTATTATAATAATAATAATAATAATAATAATAATAAAAGTGTAGGCTAATAACCATTTTATTTTTGACTGCAGCCAATTTAAACTGGTTTTGTCTGGCCAAAAAATAACTGCACAACGTAAAGCTTGACACAAGAGCATTATAAAGCATGATATGATACGTTTAATCTGCACTATTTTGAGTGAAAGTAAATGAAAACCGTTCCACCAACTCCAAAATGAGATGTTTAAAATTAGAAGAAAAACTCAGAACCAAACACCCCTAAGTGTAACACAAAAACAACATTTTCAAATGTATCCACTTGGGCCAGGTCTTCCAAAAAGATACATTTTCGTTCCCTAAAAAGTCACAGTGTGGACAAAAGGAGAGAAAAATATATGTTTTAAAATGAAACTAATTGTGAACATCGCCTAACTTGCACTGATTTATTGTTCACCATCCCCCAAAAAAACAAAATAAATGTGCGCTAGCAAAATAAACATCATGAATTGATTTCACATGAAGATGTGGATTCAAAACCATTCGGCCCAATAATGAAAATGCAGCTTCAGTGCATCATGGGCAGTACAGTGGAACACTAACAGGTAAAAGATTAATACATATCAAATTGTATCATCAGACTGGTATATGATTTAGCCCTACTTGTAATCCTAAAACAAGTGCGCTCGGCAAGCTCTCAAAAATCTTTATCAAGTCCTTATTTTGAATTACAAGCCCCAGGTTAAGAACCACTGGTTTAAGTAAGCTTCACTTACCCAGTAGTTGTTTCTGCTCTTTTAAAGGTGCAGCTGCCAGCATTGAGGCAGTAAGGGGCTCCTGGCCTTTCATATGAACTGCTGGTTCTGTATTTTGCACAACCTTAAAAAAAAAAGGAAAAAAGGCTGATATACTCAAAGTACATATTTTTCTATATTAATGTAGCAGCTATGTATCTTGTTGAACTAAGGTGCTGCAACACTATGAATGGTAAATACTGCATTTCAGACTTCTATGAACTGACAAAAGTTGCAGCGATTTAGTCAACATTTAAGGTTGGTCAAAACTGATTCACTTCAAATGCCGACCACTATAAATGTTTAGTAGCATTTTCCTGAACAATACATTTCTGTAGTAAAACTACTGGTAAGTGTCAGAAAATCACACAAACACACACTCTGCCTAAAACTCTGTGTTGTCCTTGTACTCTCTTCATGACTACTCTCTTTCTCCCTCATATACAACTCCTGTTTTACAGCTCCCTCTAGAGCTACATTTATTGGCAAGTAATGGTACTTTTACTTGAGTATGATTTTTAGTACTCTTTCCATCACTGAAAGCAATGCATTAGGTTATTTACACACACACACACACACACACACACACACACACACACACACACACACACACACACACACACACACACACACACACACACACACACACACACACACACACACACACACACACACACACACACACACACACACACACACACAAAAATGGTCTTTTCTGAGAAGCTAAAACTTTGCATGCAGGGCTTTAAGTTCAACTCGAGTAAAGGTGTGCATGTTCATTTACCTGATGAACAACAGGAGCTGGGGCATTAATGACCTGTTGCACGTTTCGAACCCCTGCTGAGTACTTGTATTGGCTGACTCCTCTGACTGCAGTTCCCGCAGCTCTCCCGCCTGCAGTCTGGGTCCCAATGTTGGCTAAGTCAGGAGAGAAACCAATAAAAATAAATAAATAAAATTGCATTTCAAATTCTGTCAAAAAACAATAATGGCATTACTCTCTACTCCATGTTATACAAATAAACGCATACAAAATTAGTGTGGCAAAAGTGAGTTACAGCCAAGGAAAATTCATATTTTACCCACCATTAAACTAAATGTTCATATTTTGTGCTGCATTTCAATGATTTAATTGGTGAAACAAAATATTAATTATACACGTGCGCACAAAGCTAAGCAGATTCTTAATTACACTTGAATATTGCAATTTTCAATGAACTAAAAAAAAAACTAATTTCTTCATTTAAACAGTGCAAAAAAAATGAAAAAGAAAAAAACTGTAAATATGACGGTTCATCTATATTTTTTTCATTCGAGGTTGTCAGGTTGCACACGCTTCAGTGTTTTTTCAATCAGTATAAAGTGCGTTTATCAATTTATGATTTTGTATCCCATATAAAATTTATTTAATACAGAATGACCATGAAATATTAAAATACAATATTACAATATTTTTTTTACAAACAAAATCTAGTCAACTTTTAAAGTGGATCAAAACATCAAAGTTCTTCTAAAAGTTCTCTCGTCTTAAAGTTTCACAAATTTGTTCTGTTCACCACTGTATATTAGCAGTCCCCAAACTTGTTCCTGGAGGGTCGATGTCCTGCCGAGTTTCTCCAACCCTAATCAAACACGCCTGAACAAGCTAATCAAGGTCTTATAATGTATAATTAAAACTTCCAGTCAGATGTGTCTAGGTATGTTGCAGCTAAACTCTGCAGGGACACCAACCCTCCAGGACTGAGATTGGTACGGTATATTATAATATTGCATATGTATATCATACTGTACATTATATAGTAGGCATTTAATCTCCGTTTTAAATATATAACAGGGATACAGACTTTCAACAACTAGTACAGCATTTTCCCCATAACAAGATCACAATGTATTATGTAAACATGGACACTGCCTTACCCATTCGTTGGGTGTTGTTTATGTGAGGAACCTGAGTGGAGGCCTGGCGGACAGTGCTGATGGTAGTGGAGGGCCTCCGTGGCACTGCTTGCCTCACAAACTGAGCTGGAAATGGACCTAGAATAATCAATCAACAGCAGAAATTCACTCGTCACATAGCAGAAAAACAGGAAGGGAAAAAAAAAGAAATGTCAGCTTCAAGTTGTGTACAAACTAGATTATACAAGTGAACATTGCAAAAAGCTGGTTTGCATACAAATACAATTGTATCTGAATTTTTTGGGTCCCAGGCAACACTGTGGCTTAGTGGTTAGCACTGTCACCTCACAGCAAGGAGGTCACTAATTTGAGTCCCGGTTGGGCCAGTTTCTGTGTAGACCAGGGCTGCTCAATCCTGTTCCTGGAGATCTACCTTCCTGCAAAATACAGCTCCCACCCTAATCAAACACACCTGAACCAATTAATTAGGACCTGAACAGCACTTGATGATTACAGGCAGGTGTGTTTGAAATGGGTAGCAACTGAAATCTGCAGGAAGGTAGATCTCCAGGAACATGGTTGAGCACCCCTGGTCTAGACGTTCGCATGTTCTCCCAGTGTTTGAGCTGGTTTCCTCTGGGTGCTCTGGTTTGCCCCACAGTTCAAAGAGATGCGATATAGAAGAACTGAATAAACTAAATTGGCCATACTGTAGGAGTTCATGTTTGGAGGTGAGAGTGTAGGGGTGTTTCCTAGTCTCCTAGTTTCCAGTACTAGGTTGCAGCAGTTCAATGGATTACAACAGCGTTAAGGACTAAATACTTCATTGTTATAGTATACAACCAAGCACTTCAGAAGACAAACGAGTCGCAAGTAAGTATTAAGCGTTTCTCTTAAAGAAAAGTCTAAGCCAAAGGTAGGTGTCTGGAGCTCCGCTCACGCTGTACCTCCATCCTTATTTGGTTACCCCTGGTTGGAGCGATGTCACACAAACAAAATGGCACCGGTTGGCCACGCCCACTTGTAGCTTTATTTGCACCCTATAGAAACCTATTGGTGACATCATGGATACTACATCCATATCTTTAGAGTTTATGATATACACATTTACACCCTTTTTTGTTTTTTGTTTTTACAAAAAAAAAGAATAATGACAAAGTAAATAAAGTTACCCAAACCGCATTCAGTCGTCTTACACTATCTGTTAAACTTTTGGTTAAGCAACAATTGATTGGGACATAATAATAGACAAAAACTTTTAAATAGCTTTTTTCATAGCAATTTGAACTACTCCAATATGTACAACAAGAAACAAGGAACTTTGATACTCTGGCGAAGAATGTCTGAGCACATGAATTGCATCATGTTTCCACTTTTTTCCTGTGCTTGAATTTGACTTGGAGTCAAACTGATATGGTAAAATTTGTGGTAAGGGAAAAAATGTTCTTTGTTAGATTTTTTTATTTTATTTTTTACCTATGGGAGACTAAGTTTTATAACTCTGCAGCTCTTACACAAGCACAAAATTACTAATACATAATACATGTACTAATACATCTTCTAAAAAGGAAGCATATGACTCCAGATTTAATGCAGTTGTGAAACCTAAATAATTGTATAGACCTTTACCTTGTGTCCTAGGAGCTTGAGATGCCCAGCGTGGTGCAGGGCGCAGGTTTGGTACAGCATTATAAAAAGAGCGAACCTGGCGGATTAGAAATGCAGATATGCATATTGATTAAAGCAGCAACGCAGATTCTGCACCTGCTACCATTAATGTAATTAAATCATTCCACCCACTTGTGGCACAGAGGTCATGTAGTAACCGGAGCCCTGCTGGTAGGTGGTGGGTATTGCAGGGCCAGGGATAGCTCGGATGCTGGCTAGTCTCTGTATGTACTGATTAGTGAGGATGGCCTTTCGTTCCTCTTTTCTTTGGGCAAGAGCCACATAAAGTGGTTTAGTGCTAACAATACGCCCGTTCATCTCAGTCACTGCCTTTGTGGCCTCTTCGGGAGAGGAAAAACAAACAAATCCAAAGCCTCTACTGTGGCCTCCATCAGTCATCACCTATGGCAAGACAAAGTGCAATTATGAAGCCAATTTTAAAAACAGCCAGTGCTAAATGGTTGTCCCATACATAGATACTCACAAATGAAAATATTTTAACCGAATAATTACAAATATTAAGAGATTTTTTTTTACATTTTAAACTTGTGGCCAGTTGCACAAAGCACTTAGACTAGTTTTAAAGGCATACATTATTTCCCCTAAAAGACTAGGGCTGCCCTCGACTAAAGATCTTCCTGTTAAACAATTAGTTGTTACATGTTAATCACACCATTAATGAATATTTGATGGAAACCCCATATGGAGGCTTCATTAACATTTGAATAATTTTATAAACTAGTGCTCGCTTTTTTTTACGGTTTATAAAGTCAAAAGACATCAACTTGAACATTTCTGCAGAGAATTCTAAATTTCCATTTGAATGGGCTTTATGCACAGCTAGAGTTAAGTCAACTTCCGGTGAAAGCTTAAATGTGAGTTTTCAATATTACAAGGTTGTTTTTACAGCATCGATAACTAAAATAATTACAATACATTCAGTTCAATAGATTTAAGCATTGATTTAGTTGTTCAAGCATAAAACAAGAAGACCATCGTGATCACTAGCACCATCAGTACCAACAGGCTAGAGCAGAAATTCCATTGAAAATACTATGGTAAAATAAACTGTCATATTTTAGAGACATGACGGGGGGAAATGAAATTGAATGCAGTGCTTCTTATCCGATCTGTGACCAACTTCATTTCATATCTAACAGGCAGTGAAGATCACTGTTTTTTTTAAAGAAATCAGATCTTAAACGTAACAATTTTGTAATGGAAAGACAGTTCACCAGAAGCCCTTGGGCTGCCTGGCTTAAAATTAAAAGTATGTGTGCATATAGCCTATTGGTTTATTTAAAAGTAGTTTTAACATCTGTAAGCTATTTTGCTATATTGGTGAGCCTGGATTACAAACAAAAACTGTGCCATCTGGAATTTTCTTCTAAAGTGAGCATTTTTCTCAAGTTCCTATATATAGGTTCACTAATTTTACTTTATTTACAGAGTAGATTATATGCATTGCCTTTGATGTGAAATAACTGAACATGAACATAAGGGTCTTTATAAAAATAAAAAAATAAAAACTCATTTTAGAAGAAAATTTTAAATGGCACTTCAAGGTTTTTGTGTCTAAAGTCTTGTTTAAATAGTATATTTCTGGCAAAAGCCAATTGTATGGGTCAACTTGATTGACCTTTATTACTTTTATGCCAAACAAAGGTTATTTATTCCAATTTCATTAATTTTTTTTAAATCTCACCCATGACTGTGTTTGTGGTCCAGGGTCACATATTCTATGTATTTTTTGTCAGTAAAGGTAGACACTTTTTTTTAATGTGCTCAAGTTTTCAGATGCAGAAGCCCAGTCAGTTTCCATTTTAAATAAGGTGCATTTATTTGTTATTTTGAACGCACATATAACTAGAGATCTTGATATGAAAGAGGTCTCTGTAGGACATTAAAAAAAATAATAATAATAATAATTTAATTAAGATTAGTGATTTTATGGCATCTGTCATGCAGTAAATAGCACTAAAAAGTTTAAGTGGGTGTACATAGTTATTTAAGGTTGATGAATTAAAAAGGCATACAGACTATGGAGCCAGATAAGTCTCATTAACAAAATGAAAATTCATTTATGCATGGCACAATTCACTCTTCGAAAACAATTTGTAAACAATTAGTAAATTCACAATTAAATGTGAATTGTGTTTTGAATTTACCGATTGGATATGCGTATTTTTAAATAGACTTTTTGAATTGACTTTGTTTTGAATTTATGGATGGGATGTGTATTTTTTCATTGCGTTTCGAATTTATAGATTTGATGCATATTTTTTAATCATGTTTGAATTTACAGATTGGATGTGTATTTTTTTTTTAATCGTGTTTTGAATTTACAGATTGGACGTGTATTTTTTTAATCGCGTTTTTAATTTAAAGATTAGACACGTTTTTTTAATCGTGTTTGGAATTTACAGATTGGACGTGTATTTTTTTATCGCGTTTTTAATTTAAAGATTGGATTTGCGCATTTTTGAATAGTGTTGAGCTTACAATTTGGATTTCGTAAATGTGAATTGTGTTGTAGATGTATGAATTTTATTTTGTACATGTATTATTTTTGAGACTGATATGGCTGCATCAATTTGAAAAGACTGATCATCCTTTACTTAACAGTTAGTTGCTAAAATTAGCACCCAAGTTCCAAAGTAATAGTGGCCATGTTTATGCAAATGGCGACAGGACAGGCTAAATTCTCTCATATCTAACGAGCTTTATATATTATTCATATTAAAACTTAGGTGTCAGAAATTTTTTTGTTGAAATGTTTCTTTCAGACCAGTACCTAATGTTATATTGACCATTGTAATACTGGTTACTAGACATTGTATTAGTGTCAATGACTTTAGAAAAAAATTAAATGCAAATTTTGAGATAAAACTGGAATTATAGATAGTAGTAGAAAGTAGAAGCAGTCAAAAAGGCTTGAGATAGGAGATTAATTAGAATTATAAAAGTCTTTTTTATTTTTTTACCTCATCCTGATTTCTACAGAATGTAATCATAAATATATTTAAAACTGAATACAAAAAAACACAAAATACACTTTAAACGATAATAAAATGTTATTAGAATTAAGCCCCAACTGGGAAAAAAAGCCAGCTGCAGACCTTTCCAGATGTGGCACACCTTCCAAAATGACTCAGAGCACTGTGATGACTCATTAGCATCCAAAAGACACTTGAAATAAAAATTAAGGAAAAACCTCTGCCAACCAAAAACATTATCAATTTTGGTAAAACATACCTTGTGGTTTAAAAAAAAAGAAGGAAGGGGTTTAAAGTCATTACATTTAGCATATACTAAACGCCCAATAATACTACAAAAAGAACATCAGACAGTCATGCAAAATGGTGGAAGAGTACTGGTTTGAGAAAGAATAGCTACTTCAGTTCATGAGTCTAAAAAACGATGTTTAAGTGCAGCCGGATTTTGTAGCCAAAAAACAAACAAAAAAAATTAATAAAAACCAGAGCATAAGAGCAAATTTACCTCTAATAGATTAAATATAAAGAGGAAAGAAGAGAAATAGAAAAGGGCAAAATTAGTCATTTTAAATGGCCTGAACAACCTATCTGTATAAAAACTGTTCACTCAAGTTGTTTATTACATAAGATAAATTAAAACTATTAGGTATGAAACAAACAGATCAGAATAGTGATTAATACATTTTCAGTGCTGTATTTTCTGGTTATAACAAAAGGGAAACAGAAATGTATGAGTGGCTGTTAATATAAAGCATACACAGCATTACATGGGATTTATTTTCTCTCTTCATGTGTAATAAACTCAAGCCATGATGGAGATTGCAGACTTTATAGTTACACACTGGTGGTACTCACACTAATGATATTCTTATTTATTAAACTATTCAGCACTGCAAAACACTTTTAGTTTCACTGGTTAAACCTACAGCATTGTTTTATAAAAGGCACATGTATTTTTTTATATTACCTTTGCGCTGGTGATGGTTCCATAAGGTGCAAACTCCTTCCTCAACTTCTCATCATCAATGCTGTCATCCAGATTTTTCACATAGAGATTAACCCCCTAAAATTAAAGAAACAACTTGTGCATCACAACACGTTTCCAGATAAAACCACATACAAATCCATCTCACATAATGAGGATGATGTCGAATACATCCTGTGCTGATTAAAATGCAGAGAAATGAGTGTACCTGGTAACGTTGTATGCGCTCTTGCTTAATTTGCTCAAACTTGCGCTTGAGCTCTCCCTGCCTCTCGAGTCTTTTCTGAGCTCTGCCTACATACAGGACCCTGCCATTGAGCTCTTTGCCATTCATTTCAGTTACTGCCTACCACAAAGAGAAAAAAAAAGTTAAATCTCTGTTTACCCGTCACTATCATATAATGAAGATACATCTGTATTTGCATTTTTACCCTCCTAGCATCGCCATGGTTGACAAAATTGACAAATCCAAAGCCACGGGAGCGTCCCCTTTCATCAGTCATCACACAGACGCTAAGAGTTTTACCTGTGAATCAGAGACAACTTCAAGTATGTATATTTTTCATAAAGAATCACAGGAATTAAATTAAAATCAGGAATAAAATGTTACTGCATTTTATATATATATATATATATATATATATATATATATATATATATATCAAATTTTATTTATTTATTTTTTTTACCAAATTCAGTGAAGATATTCTTCAGTTTCTCACTGTCAATGTCTTCACCAAAGTTCTTAATATACACATTGGTGAACTCCACAGCTTTAGCTCCCATCTCTGCCTCGCGCTCTTTACGGGATTTAAAGTGCCCTACAAATCTGTAAAAAGGAAGAAATATGGATTTAAAGTAGACATACCCAGAAAAAAATAATTAATTTGTTCACTTGAATAGATGAATCATTTACTTTAGTATTGAACTGAAAGCATGCATATCTGACCAAGAAAAAAATAACATTTAAAAATAATTATGCAAAACCCAATATATTTGATATAGCCCATACAATAAGATGTAATTCCGGCTGTAATTATGACAAAGACATTTAATAATTCCATAAAACAATGCTTGATTCTCATATTTCAAAAGGAAACCATTTCAAGGTTAATCTTCCAGGCACGTCTTCCCCCTTTACAGTTCCACATCACACCTTGAACATTGTGTAGGATCAAAATAACAGCCTTCATCCATGTTTTGCCACAAGATTTTTTTTCTTGATCCAGTCCAAAACCATTCTTTATCTTGTTCTTTTTCCCATACAAAATGCACAAAAACAATAAAGATAGTATAGAAGCACTGCTTTATAAAATATAATAGTGGTTCTCAACCACATTCCTGGAGGACTACCAGTACTGCGTATTTTTCATGTCATCTTAATCACACCGGATTCAGAACATCAGCTTATTAACTGAGACTGCAAGATCTGAAAATGGTGTGACATGCAAAGAGTGTAGTTCTGGTGGTCCCTCAGAAATGTGGTTGAGAACCACTGATCTACAAAAAAAGAAAAACACTGCTTTAGATTTTTTTCCAATTTACAATTTCTTAACTTTGCTATTAGTATGCACTCTGATGCCACACTGTTGAGAGATGCAGAAAAAAAGACACTATAGGTGCGTCCCAAATCCCATACGCTATTTTGTAGTATAAATAGTGCATTTACAATGAAAACTCTAAAAAGAATAAGTGCACTTTAACTAACCAGTAAAATGAAGTGTGGAATGATGGACACTTCACACACTCAACCACTGCAGCTTTACTTACATAGCGAAAAGGGCACATGATGGATTACTTTATTTTGGATTTTGAAAGCAAAATTCTCCTACGAGTGTGATTATAGTCCCTCCCGATGGTGAATGTGATTATACTAATGGCAGGTATTATTTCATAGTTTGGTCATTGATTTTACTACTTCGGCAACAATCAAACTGCATCAAGGAAATGGTTTGAACTTCCGCCTAGTAAAAAAACATTAGTGTTCCATTTGGGACGACACTTTATACATACTATGATGTTGAGTGTGTAAGTGCATAAGTACATGGTGTATAGTGTGCCATTTGGAATGCAGCTTTATTCTCTCCATCTCACGCAAGCACATTAATAACAGTACTTGTCTGCCGTCAATGGCTTAAGACTTCATTCATTCATTCATTCAATCATTTTCTTGTCGGCTTAGTCCCTTTATTAATCTGGGGTCGTCACAGTGGAATGAACCGCCAACTTATCTTGCAAGTTTTTACGCAGCGGATGCCCTTCCAGCCGCAACACGTTCCTGGGAAACATTCACACACTCATTCACACACACACTCATACACTACGGAAAATTTAACCTACCCAATTCACTTGTACCGCATGTCTTTGGACTGTGGGGGAAACCGGAGCACCCGGAGGAAACCCACATGAATGCAGGGAGAACATGCAAACTCCACACAGAAACGCCAACTGAGCCGAGGCTCGAACCAGCGACCCAGCGACCTTCTTGCTGTGAGGCGAACGTGCTACCCACTGCATCGCCATGGCTTAAGATTTAACTTTTGTAATTAGCCACAAAGGCTTGGGATGAATACGCAAGAATCTAGTCCTACAAACAGAAGTCATTTAAAAACAAAAACCTAACAAATATCTTGAAATACATAATCTGAACGATATTTTTATGTGGTAACCATAGCGCGAGTAGAATAATTGACTTATACAGCGGGTTTAAAAGGAACTCTGTACCACATACTGCATTAATTAAACGTACACTTTGCGATCATTCAGAAGCATGCCATTCATCGTCTCAATTGCTCTGTTAGCTGCTTCTTGGGTCTCAAAGTGCACAAACCCATAACCCTTTGAGCCGTTTTCATCACAAACTACCTAGAATGAAGAAAAAGGTTACTCTGAGATGCGTTGGTGGCAATAAACATTACATTTTATTTCAACTTGAGGCAAAAAGGCCTTCAAGTCAACCCGTCTATCCAATAGATAAATCGCACAGTGACTGGAAAAGAATGTACCTTACATGACAAGATGTTACCAAAAGCAGAAAAGGTGTCATAAAGAGCCTTGTTGTCAATAGACTCATCCATGTTCTTGATGAAGATGTTTCCCACACCAGACTTTCTCAGACCAGGATCTCGCTGTGACCACATGATCCTGATTGGGCGACCTTTAATGACTTCATAGTTCATTGTGTCAAGGGCACACTCCGCTTAAATAGAGGAAAAAGTGACGTGCAGATTTTAGAGAAACCTTCTGATCACTTAATGTAGTTTGCAATTGAAAGAACTCACAACACACACATAAATACATACATGCATACATACGTCAGTACTTCTTGCTTACTAAATTCCAACCCAAAAAAGCAATTATGAACAATGAAACACCCTGTTAAAAGTGCCCTCACCATCAGCAGGCTGCTGGAAGTTTATGTAAGCATATCCAAGGGATCTCCGCGTAATTACATCACGGCAAACACGAATGGACATGATCTGACCAGCAGGAGAGAACTTCTGGTATAGCATGGCCTCTGTGACATCAGCATGAAGGTCACCGACATACAGAGAGGCTAATGGATATGCTGGTCCGCCGCTGTTCATCCTTCAGAAGCACTCTGCAAAAGAGTTGTAGCCTTATGAGCTGGCTTTTTTTTTTTTTTTTTTTTACTAGTTGACTTTACTGCATCTATAAAAGCTAAAAATGATGAAGAGTGTTACAAAATCTAAATCCTATTAAAAAAAGTAACACTTAAAGTTCGTCCTAAAAATAACAATGCACTCACTATGTAGGTACCCTTGATTGTTTCCAAACTTTGAGTTTCTTTATTCTGTTAAAAACAAAAGATGATATTTGAAGAAAGCAGAACACCTGTAAAAACATTGACATCCATAGTCCAGCAAATAAATATGAAAGTCAATGGTTACAGGTTTCAGCTTTCGTCTAAATATCTTCGTTTGTGTTCAGAAAAAACAAACATGTTTGAAACAAGTAAATAAAAAATAAATGATGACTATTTTAATTTAAGTGAACCATCTCTTTAAACTTATAAAAATACAAGGGAACTTATTATGCCTAGAGTGTGTATGTGAAGTTTAAAGCTTAAAACCCCCACAAATAATATTTTCGAACTCTTTGAAACTGCCCTTTTTAAGCTTTGAATCTAATTGTGCCATTTAGGTGACTCCCCTTAAATTCAAATGAGATTGTAAATCCAGCCTTATTCTCAAAAAAAGGCGGAGCTACAAATGCAAATCAGCATAGTGGCAGATTCAAAAATGAGACTAATGTCCTATGCTGATGAGGCAGAGATTTCCATTAGTGGGTGGGGCTTTCCCCCTCACAAGACGTGTACAAAGGAAGAATGTCAATTAAAATGTTTTTGCACTTCTAAATGGTGTGACTATAAAAATAAAATGAATTTTACCATTACTACCTGGTTATATTTCATTAAATGTTGCCACAAAACTGTTTAAAACCCTTACATATGTGATTTTTGTATAATAATTCCTCTTTAATAAAGCAATCTTTGCACCATGCAAAACACCAACCAGGGGCGGACCAGCCATAGGGAGCACCAGGAGGTTCAAGCTAAAATAATTTTCCCTACTTAAATTGCTATCCCAGTCCACCCCTTACATCAACTAAAGCTGTAGAAATAATAGAAAAAATAAGTTAGAAATAAAAATAATTTAAAAAAGTATAATAAATCTGCATTCATAGGCCAGCAAACTGTCCAACTGTATGCTTATTTCCTAAAACAAAAGGTTGTGCCATTGTGTTTTGATAGATAGATGCAGTTATATAAATTATTTTTTCAATGCCATAACATTTAAAATATTTCTGGACAAAAAGAGGGGTTGATAAATTGCCGTTTGTTAAATGATTTTAAAAATCACCATGCAAAAGCAAAGATCCTTTGTAAAGAGCATTATATATGTTTGTAAACTGATGCATGCTCTTTCTCTCTTTTTAAATGATCTTGCATTTTTTTTTCATTTAGTCCATAAGGCATAGGAAAATAGGAAATGCTTGCGTTGTGTAATGAAGTATTTGACTATGCTAGTCCTTGTAAGCATAACAAAAAAACAACAACTGTGGTACAAGAGGAGCTAGTGATAAGAATTCAGGCTTTTTTTGGAGATCCGGTCCCGACCATTTGGCTCAGTGGCTCTCAAATAAATTTACTAACAGAACCTCTAGCTTTTGGCTCATTCTACAGAAATTGTGCTCATTCTATGAAAAAGAAAAATGCTCATTCTATGCATTTTTCTGCCCCTAGACTTAATAGCAATATTACACTTTAGTGTAAAAATCTTTAGGATTAAAATGTCCATGCATTTTAAAATAAAAAATGTTATTTGAACAATTTCACCCTTTCGTGTCATCAGTGTAGCAATATTTTTTTTAAACGCATGTAAAACTAAAAAAATAAAAATAAAATAAATAAACAAAATACAAAACTGCTTGTCCACACAACCATGGGCAATAAAAAGATGCTTCACTTTCAGATAAAATACTTTTCTACCATTTAAATATACAAAAATGCATTAATGTAAATAACATTAAAAAAGAAGGGGCAAATAAATTATAAAACGTATAATGGTAGTAGTCACCCCCTGGAGTTTTTGTTGCAGTATAACAAAAAATATTATTTTGAAATGATTGCTTTAGTGACATAACTTTCCTCTTCCTATTTTCTGAAGATCCATGAAGAAAGACCCATTGTAATTCCATTGTCATTGTTTAGTTACCAGAATTAACTAATAATTTATCAGTTAATCTCAGGATTAAAAAACATATTGGAAATGTCCCCCAATCTACAATTTTTTCCTTGCTTTTTCCTTTGGAATGATGGTTCTTTAATAACCATGGCTTCTAATCAAAAACTAACTTTCTAAGGATTAACAGCAAAGAAAACAATCATCAGTTCTTGGATCCCTTCTAATCTGCTCTCTATTCAGCAATAGTTATACTATATTATAAACATTGTTTGACTGGAGCAATCCACTGACTTGAAGCAAAGATTTCAACAATTCTTCATTGGAACTAAATGCATATTAATATGATCTCCATTATTAAAACTTAAGTGATTTAATGATGCAAGAGAAATTATTAAGATGTCTTTTTAGAATACTGGTGACAAATAATTTTTTTTGTTTGATTTGTTTTACAATAATGCTAGTAGACACTTTTTTCCATTTCTCTGACTATGTATATAGTTTGTATAGTAAATGTATATATTTGTGTTTGTGTGCGTGCGCTTATAAATAATTTGTATTTTTAAAATTAGTTTTATCGTTATCAACCATACTATACACAAACCAAGACTATGTTGAGGAATACTGTTATTAACATCTACCACATTAACTAAAAACACAAAGTTAACAAAAAATGTATAATTTGTCTCATGATTTCATGTGAAGTGTTTAGTTAGTGTCACTAGTGTAACCTCCTATATTGTTAAGAAATTAAGAAACAAAAATATAAATGGATTAATCTCTTAATACATTTTAATTTAGTGAGAATATCATGATTGCGAACATGTGGTTAGGCACCGTTTGCAGCAGACATTTTGCAAAATGCATTTTTCATAAATTGTCACTGGTGTTAAAAATTAAAATAATCTTATTTGTTTCACTAATTATTTTTCTGATATGTACTGAAAAAAATCTATTTTAATATTTGCCAAAAAGTAGGTAAAATAGTACAATAAAAATGTTTGTATCCTTTGAATGTACAAAAAGTACACATAAAAAAAACATTAAGCTGCTATTTATGCGTTCCATAAAGTCAGAAGTTAATTGAGTAATGTGGAATTTTAAACGTAAAAAAAGAAATTGATTTGTTTTTAGACATTTTGCCAAACAATAAACCTACTTTTCAGTAGAATGATCCTTTTAGCATTTGCCTGACTTATAAAGGTTTTCACATGTTTTATGTTTGCGCCATTTAATTACAATAAGCAAACATCAATCCGCGTTGAATCTGTTAAAGTCGGCCTCATGGCTTGTAATGTTCTTTGGGTTGACTTGGGCAGAGGCTCATTTTTGAACGGACTTTGCCCACAATTCTTCTAATTGCTTCCTTATTAAAGTAATTTATTTCGGACATGTATCAACTTTTTGACTATACCGACTTTATAACTGCGAGCTCTGTTTTAGAATGACTTTGAAATTTAAACGCGAAAATTTCTTAATTTCACAAACTCGGCTAATATGTTCACTTACACTTTTGTATATTTCTTTAAACAATTCGAAGATACCTGGAGAAGTAATATTAGTTAGTTACCTGGTGTTAAAGCAAATAAGCATATCCTTCTGTGTAGCTGCAAACGGGCTCCACCCCGTTGTGAGAGTTTTTGTGTCAGTTTAATTATTACTGAGGAACACCTGTTATTTGTAACGCGTGTTCCAATTAAACCCCATCTGTGAGAACCTCTTTTCTTTAGTTGTTTTGCGTAGAAAAGTAGGCACGTTCTTGAGAAAAATCAACACCGATTGGTTATTTAAATTACCAGCTAAACTGCATAAAAACTGAAACATTTTGTACCTTTTATTAAAGTTTAAAGGGCTTTCATCTTTCAATGCCCTATTGCTTACAATATTTTTAGAATTAAATTATTCAGCTCTAAGGAAAATATATATACAAAACAAAATGCAGGAAATACACACAGCCTGTCAGTGAATAATGTACTATGGTAAAATGCATACAATGAAAAAATATTTCAGCAAAATTTTTTGCAAACAATTATTGATTGAATTTAAACAAACATTACTATTTAATTTTAGTAATGTTCAACTTTTGTTTGTTTAAATTCAGCCCAAATAAATTGTTTATAACCACGCACCTTAAAAAATTTAGCAAATCCAAAGAATCATCTTTGAATCCTTTTTTTTCAGTGAGAATTTGCATAGGTAAATGACAAATAGGTAAATAGGTAATAATTCTTTTTTTTTTTTTTTTTTAACAGTTTTTAAGAAAAAACTACTTACTGGATAAGGTTAAAATGCCCAGCAAAAATTCAGAAAAACAATTCTTAAAAATATGCTTATCAGCATGACAAAATGATGTACCAAGCTTGTTTTTGCAACTATATTAATGAAACAAAATGATTGCCATTTGCTAAAATAGCAACTTATAAAATGAGGCTCGAGGTATTTATTAATAATTTTAGGATTTTCGAAATTATAAGAGTAATATAGGGAACTATGCTTGGAAACTGTGACACTCTTAGGACAGTTTTAAGATTTGGCTAAAAAAAAAAAAAAAAAAAAACGTTATGCAGCTGTTTTTTATAACAAGATAGTTCCAAGAACGATAATAGAAAAGTTTAAACAGTTACTGTTTTTTTAAATGACAATGCTAACTATATTCATGCTTGTCATGTGACAGATAATAATTATATCTGATTGCTTTGTTGTGTTTTGTTATTCAATGACATTATCATTATCTCAATTATCAAATTTTAGAAAAATGAGATTTGGAAATTAAAATCCACCAGTCTTTATTTTATCCTTTTTCTTCTTTATTCTCAGAATATCGAAATCAGATGTAGGCGGTAGGTCTTTCTCATATCTGTCACCTAAACTCTGGAACCAACACACTCTGTCAGTTTAAAACTAGATTAAAGACACATCTCTTGCATTAGCATACACATAAAACACAAATGCTTTTGAAATCCAATTCCTCTAAAGGATTGTTGTCTGCATTATTTAGGGCAGACAAGGAAAACTTCCCAAAAAACATTATAATTTGAAGGGCATCTGCTCTTATGTTAGTCTTTTTTTTCTGAGGTTTCAGCCTGATCTCACAAGAAAACGTAAGTATTTTACGTTTTACCAGTTCAGTGGCTAATTCATACGAGTTCAGTCGTACCAAATTATACGATTTTAAAAAGGAGGCGTGACACCTAACGCCACCCCTAAAACCAACCGTCATTGGGGGATGAGCAAATATATGAATATATATTATAATAAATATATGAATTCATACGCATTAGCGACTAAATCAAAAACTTACGAATTGCCGTCAGATTGTGTTGAGGTTTCCATAACCCTGGACAAGGCTGTATCCAGAGCAGCTGCTGTGGTGGTTTATGAAGAAGTGGAGAACATGAGAGTGATTCCTGTAAGACCCCAGTGACAGACGAGTCATTTGGTCCTAACCGGACAGCCTGTACACCAGCCGGTGACCTCTGCTACCTGTGGCTTCTCCGCGATGGACTTGCAGCATTCTCTGGCCTCCGGCGCCTAGACTGCAGCTCTGCACAAGAAGTTTGGCCAGAGGAGAAATGGTCATGTCTAACTGAGACTGGTTTCTTTCTAGTTTTTTTTTTTTTTACTTTCACTAATGTCAATTGGTGAAGTTTTTTCCTCGCCACTGGCTTGCATGGTTCGGGACTTTTGGAGCTGCACATCGATGGATTTGCTCTTAAGTGTTTGAACTCTCAGCAGTGAAAAATAACCCACACTGAACTTAAACTCTGAAAACTGCACTGACAGTTTCAATTTACTATAATGTTCTATGTGAAGCTGTTTTGACACAATTTACATTGTAAAAGTGTTATGGAAATAAAGATACATTTAATTTTGAATTAAATTTTACTTCTCACAGTAAATTGCAGTCCAAATTTGAACACTTTCCAAATTTGAACTATTTGCTATCCACCATTATCTACTACATTCACTCTGTCTCATTTTATTTGTGGCAAACACCTGTAACTCCAATTTAATATAGTATATTGCTAGAGATTTTGGGACATCTGAAATTGCCCCTTTCACGCATATATACCATGACTCATGAATCATTTTGAATACATCAGAATACTTGAAAAGATTGTTGTCCAGTGGTTAAAAGGAAATGCCACTGAAATTGGTGTTTTAACAAGACAACTCCAAACATAGAGTAACGAACTCCTTGGGCTAACTAACTTTCCACTTTCACGCTGACTCAGATGTACATCTGAACGAGTTTAAATGGAACATCTTAAGCCCTTGGAAAGTACACTGTTGTGACATCAACAATCACATAGACATACAGTGCATGCGGAAAGTATTCATAGCGCTTCACTTTTTCCACCTTTTTATGTTACAGCCTTGGTCCAAAATAAATGTAATTTGTTTCCTCAAAAGTCCACACATAACACCCCATAATGACAATGTGACATTATTTTTTTGAAATTGTTGCAAATTTATTAAAAATAAACAACCTGAAAAAAAAAAATCACATGTACAGAAGTATTCACAGCCTTTGCTCAATACTCTGTTTATGCACTTTTGGCAGCAATTACAGCCTCAAGTCTTTTTAAATTTGATGCCATAAGCTTGGCACACCTGTCTTTGGGAAATTTTGCCCATTCCTCTTTGCAGTACGTCTCAAGCTCTATCACAGGGGTGTCAAACTCAATTCCTGGAGGGCCGAAGCCCTGCACAGTTTAGTTCCAACCCTGCTCCAACACACTTACCTGTAGGTTTCAAACAAGCCTGAAGGACTCAATTAGTTTGATCAGGTGTGTTTAATTAGGGTTGGAACTAAACTGTGCAGAGCTGCGGCCCTTTTGGAACTGAGTTTGACACCTGTGCTCTATCAGGTTGGATGGGAAGTGACGGTGTTCAGCCATTTTCAGATTCTCAGATCTTGATGTTCAATAGGATTTAGGTCTGGGCTCTGGCTGGGCTACTCGCAGAGTTGTTGTGAAGCCACTCCATTGATATTTTGGCAGTGTGCTTTGGGTCATTGTCTTGCTGGATGATGAACAGTCACCCCAGTTTGAGGTCAAAACACTCTGGAGCAGGTTTTCTTTCAGGATGTCTCTGTACATTGCTGCATTCATCTTTCCCTCTATCCTGACTGGTCGTCCAATTCCTGCTGCTGAAAAACATCCCCACAGCATGATGCTGCCACCACCATGCTTTACTGTAGGGATGGTATTAGCCTGGTTATGAGCGGTGCCTGGTGTTCTCCAAATGTAACACCTGGAGTTCACTTTAAATATAGTTCAAATTTAGTCTCAACAGACCAGAGGATTTTGTTTCGTATGGGGTGAGAGTCCTTCAGCTGCCTTTGGGCAAATTCCAGTCGGGAGTGACTTCCATCTGGCCACTCTACCATACAGGCCTGATTGGTGGATTGCTGCACAGATGGTTGTCCTTCTGTAAGATACTCCTCTTTCCACAGAGGAACGCTGCAGCTCAGACAGTGACCATTAGGTTATTGATCACATTCCAGACTAAGGCCCTTCTCCCCTGATCACTCAGCTTAGATGGCCGGCCAGCTCTAGGAAGAGCCCCGGTGGTTCCAAACATCTTCCACTTACAGATGGAGGCCACTGTGCTCATCAGAACATTCAGCGCAGCAGAAATATTTCTGTAATCTTCCCCAGCCTTGTGCTTTGAGACAATCCTGTCTCAGAGGTTTACTGACAATTCTTTTGTCTTCATGCTTGGTTTGTGCTTTCACATGCACTATCAACCCTGGGACCTTATATAGTCAGGTGTATGCCTTTTCAAATCATGTCCAATCAACGGAATTTACCACAGGTGAACTTCAATTAAGCTGCTGAAACATGATCAGGCCCGGATTGGCTAATCGGGAGGACCGGGAGAATTCCCGGTGGGCCGGTCCGTTTTTTGGCCGCGAGGGCCGGTGTCTCTAGCTCCAGAATCTGTTGCTCTCAGCGGTCACACTTTTTAAATTTATTTATTTACTTGACCACAGCCATTTTATTCATTTTTATACCGCAACTCTTCTCCTTTGATCTATTTTAATAATTATAAAACTGTGTTGTGGCCGAGCAGTTAGCATGTTAGGTTAAGACCCCGTGGACCCGGGTTCGATCCTTCTTAGAGTAAATTGGTCTTGTCATTTTTATTGATAAAACATATAATACTGTTAGGGTTGTTGAACATTTGAAGTTCTAAAGCAGCTGTTTTCTCAAAAAAAAGAAAAAAAAAAGACGTAATAGTGTCATTAGAAACTGATTTGGAAATATTTATTTATTTACTTATTTTAATATAGTCAGTCGTGAACTGAGGTGGGCCGGTCTGAGGCTTGAAACTCCAGGGCTGAAAAGGTGTCCCACTCCGGCCCTGAACATGATGATCAGTGGAAGCAGAATTTACCTGAGCTCAATTTAGAGCTTTACAGCAAAGGCTGTGAATACTCTTCTGTGCATGTGATTTTTCAGTTTTTTTTTATTTTTAATAAATTTGCAACAATTTCAAAAACTCTTTTTTTCACATTGTCATTATGGGGCATTGTGTGTAGAAGTTTGAGGAAATAAATGAACTGAATTCAGTTTGGAATAAAGCTAACAAAAAAAGGGTGGAAAAAGTGAAGCACTATGAATACATTCCGGATGCACTGAACAGG